GTTTTGATTAGTTGTACCCTTAAAGTGAACATGTGAATGGTGATTTACACAATGATTTTAAATTGTCACTAGCTACCATTCTTCTTGTTCTTTGGCACTTTCAGCTCTCCCCCTCTGTCTCTTCCACACATGTGTAGAAACAGAAAAAAATGCAGAAAACTGTTTGGAAGCTACAGAACCAAATTGATATGGCGGTGCAGGGACATAAAGTTAGCATATCCATACATCTAATTTTGTTTCTCTTTCAGATTAGATATATGCATTAGCTTTCTGTTCCTTCTGTGACTTAACATGTAAGAATCTAGATTTTCAAACCATCCAAAGTGTTTTTTTCTTTCCCATCTTGTATCTGTAGGTGCACTTTCAAAATTGTTTGAGAATTGAGAAAGTATAGATGAATAAACCCTTGTTGTCCAATTTCAAAATATATTATTTTCCTAATCCAAATGGTTTTTAGGGCTGTCTCCTGATATTTCCTTGTCTAAAGATAATATGCAAGAACTCTCTGATGTAAGTTTTTTTGGGGAACTATATTAAGTTTCTTTGAGGTCATAACCCAGGGGTTAGGTGTATATGTGCAGTCATGTGTTTTAAACAACATTGATACCTTTTTTCATATCAAAATGATAATATGCACCTTAAGTCCTTTTCTCAGCAGCAAAAAACCCCCTCATATTATGAAATACATTGAGAGCACCAGAACCTACTCCAGCTTTCAGACAATTAGTATTTACTTTTCTTATAAATACTCTAGAAAAATGTCTATTATAGCCTCTCTTTAAAAATGGAAAGAAATGGAAAGTGAAATATACCCCTTTGCATCAATAATAGAAAATTGAGTGCACTACTAGACATGATAACTACAAGATACCGAAATCTTAAATTAATGTAAGATCCAACGTGAATCAATGAGAAATATAATATTGCATTGTCTTCTAGAACACAGAAGAGTTTACTATGAGGAATAAATTGTTCCAGCTTTAGCAATTTATCATGAAAAAAATCAATTAAAAAAATTAAAATACAGTAAAATAATTTATTTTAAAACTGACAAATCCCTGCTATCTTTCTTCAATATTGTATGAATAAATTGCAATGCCTTCTTTCACTATTACATTGGGGCATTTTATTTGTTGTCTATGAAATCTAATAGATAGGCTAGGAATCATTTTGTTCCATTATAATTTTTAAACTTCAAATGCTTCCATTAGCACTGTATTTACTCAAATGTAAGATGACCCTGAATTTCAGACATGTCCGCCCTCCAGCCAATAATTAGATTTTATATAAGGAAAATGTATGAATTTGTTATACATTTTCAGGTATAAAATCTAATTTCACAGCTTTGTCTTGAATTTGTCCCCTTCCAATTGTTACAGCAGGGAAAATAGTGGATGGGGGGGGAGTGACCCCCTGCTCTCTGCTCCCCTGACTTCTTCCCTCTGCAATTCCTTCCCCCTTATTGTCAGACCCTGCCTGGGCTCTGTTCTGTCCCTGAGCATGTGGAAGAAAGAGGCAAATCTGAAACACAAGGGACCAAAAACCACTGATTGGAAGTAAACATACCAACAGTAATTTGGAAATAGACAAATTACTATGGATACCTATAGACTTAGTTTATCCAAAATTGATACATTTAACTTGGTATGTGTGGGTGCATCTACATGTGTAATAATGCAACACAATAAACTCCAGAGCAGTTTTAGCTGGAGTAACTACTCCTGGGTTCAGTGTCTACACATGCACTTGGGATAGCAGCAATTTGAGCAAGGGCAGAGCAGCCCTCCAGCTGGCTGAGCTGATCACACACCTGGTCACTGTCTACACATTTCAATGAAGTAAAGTACTCTGCCATAAGATAGTACTGTCCCCAGCAGTAATATCCTACATTAGAGTTTATTAGTTTATTGCTCCGTAATACCAGCACATATGTAGACCATGATATTTTACTGCAGAGTTAATTAGTCTACTCCACAGTAAAGTGCATGTATAGATGTGCTTTGTGTGTACTCTAGATACGCCCCCAAAGGATCCATGTGCTAACTAGCCCCTCACTCACAACTGGAACTGGGTGTTCTTGTCTTGAGTCCTGGGTCCCTCCAAAAATTTATATGCAGACGAGGGGTGTGAGGCCATCTGGTCTGGCTCCACCTCATGGAGGGTGGAGCCACACCGATGATCCAATGTAGTTTACCATGAATTGAAAAAGAGACAGTATTGAAAGGAATGAGTGAAATAAGCACTGCATTTTTTTTTAGGGACATACACATACACACACAAGGTTCCCATCAGTATGTTTGCCCAATATGGGCCAGGTGTTTTACAAACAAATATAAGACATAGTGCTTTCCCCCATTCTGACTGGGGAAAAACCTTGTCTTATATTTGAGTAAGTAAGGTACTTCTCATATTTGCATATATTCTTTTATTATACTAGAAGTAGAGGACTAATCTCATGTCTGGCTTCTCTGCACTGTACATAGAACCTACCTGAGCTCCCAATGTATTTCATAGTAAGTATGTACTGAATCTCTTCATTATCAAGAAATATCTGAGGTATATTCAAGAGGCTCAGAGATAATCTTCCAGTAACTGGATTCACCAAAGCATAGTACACTAGTGATATTCACTTCCAGATGCTCCCTTCTCAGCAACAGAATCATAGAAAATTGGGGTTGGAAGGCATCTCAGAAGGTCATATAGTCCAACCTTATGCTTATATCAGGAACATCCCCAACTAGATCATCCCAGCCAAGGATTTGTCTACCCAGGTCTTAAAAACCTCCAAACATGGAGATTCCACAACATCTCTAGGTAACCTGTTCCAGTGCTTTACTACTCTAGTGAGACAACTTTTACTCCTAGTGAGACAACTTTTTCTAATATCTAACCTAAACTTCCTTTTCTGCAACTTGAGACCACTTTTTCTTCTGGCAATTAGAGACTTTGGCCATTCGTGGCAGAGTCCACCCCCCATTCAGTGAGGTGCAGTGAGGGAGAGCGGAGATCTCCCCACCCACATAGCTGTTGCCCCACGGTGCATGTGCAGTGCAGCTTGCAAGGGTGCCACGCACTGCCCGGGAGATGAACTGGCTCCATGTGTAAGGTGGAGCTCCCATTTCAATTCCCCAGCTCTGATCATTCCTCCAGCTCTTCCCAGGGGGCATGACCCCCAGATCTGCACGGTGTTTCAGCAGGCTGCTGCTGCTGGCTGGGGAAATAATCCAGAGCTGTCACCATCAGAAGCTGGCAGAGGCAGCCTGCTGTTGTCCCACATCATCCCGGGGACTGTGGCCGCAGGAAGAACTAGCATAAAGGTTAGGGAGCTAGGGAATTGAACTGGGACTTAGGGACTGTTCAGGTCCCTGAACATTCCCCCAGCTCCCAGTTCAATTCTTCAGCTCCCTGTTCAATTCCCCAGGCCCTGGTTCCATTTCTCAGCTCTTGGTTCAATTATCTTGGGAGCTGGACTGACTTTACATGTCAGCCAGAATGTAGCACCGCTCAACCCCAGTGGCCCCAGCTCTCAGACAGCGTATGGTGCCTTGCCAAGCCACGCTATACCCATGCCATGGGGTGGGTGCCAGGTGGGGGCTGATTCCCACTGCCCTACACTGCATCGGGGGGGCTCTGCCATGAGCACCAAGAGGCCCCAATCGCTGCTCCTGCAGCCAGTGTCTGTGTGTGGGGGGGTTGTTTTTTTTTTAAAGTTCTGGGACTAGGTTGGGGCCAGGTAGGGGCTAGGCTGGGCAGGGAAGCCATGGGAGTTTCTCCCATGGCTTCTCCTGCCCAGGGAGAGGCAGGCATAGCTGGAGGAGCCATGGGAGAACCCGCAGTGACCCAGCTGTGCCTGCCTCTCCCTGGCTGATCTGAATCACCAAAACTTCCGAATTAGCGACTAATCTTCTGAACCTGATTCAGTTTCATAGTTTCATAGTTTCTAGGGTTGGAAGGGACCTGAGCAGATCATCTAGTCCGACCCCCTGCCATGGCAGGAAGAGCACTGGGGTCAAATGACCCCAATAAGGTGGTCATCCAACCTCCTCTTAAAAACCCCCAGGGTGGGAGCCTGCACCACCTCACTTGGAAGCTGGTTCCAGACCCTAGCCGCCCTGACCGTGAAGTAGCGCCTCCTGATGTCCAACTTAAACCTTCCCTCCGCCAGCTTGTGACCATTGTTCCTGGTCACTCCTTGCGGCGCTCGGGGGAACAGGGACTCCCCCAGCGCCTGCTGATCCCCCCTAACCAGTTTATAACAGGCCACAAGATCCCCCCTCAGCCTTCTCTTTTGAAGGCTGAACAGGTTCAGGTCCCGCAACCTTTCCTCATAGGACCTACCCTGCTGTCCCTTGATCATACGAGTGGCCCTCCTCTGGACCCTCTCCATGCTGTCCACATCCCTCTTAAAGTGCGGCGCCCAGAACTGGACGCAGTACTCCAGCTGCGGCCTGACCAGTGCCGCATAGAGGGGGAGGATCACCTCCTTGGACCTGCTCGAGATGCATCTGTGGATGCACGACAAGGTGCAGTTGGCCTTCCTAGCCGCCTCCCCACATTGCCGACTCATGTTCATCCTGGAGTCAATAATGACTCCCAGATCCTTTTCCACCTCCGTGCTGACAAGAGGGGAGTTCCCCAGCCTGTATGTATGGTGCCGATTGTTCCTCCCCAGGTGCATCACCTTACACTTGTCCGTGTTAAACCCCATCCTGTTCTCCTCCGCCCATCCTTGTAACCTGTCTAGGTCCAACTGTAGCCAGTCCAACTGAATCAATTCAGGGCAGTGATCCAAATCTCTCAATCAAATCACTTTGAATCAGCCCAATCCAAATTGAATACTTCCCTATTTGCACAGGCCTACTAATCACCTTCTTTTCCTCCAAGTGCTTAGAAAGGGATTCCTTGAGGACCTGTTCCATGATTTTTCCAGGGACTGAGGTGAAGCTGACCGGTCTGTAGCTTCCTGGATCCTTCTTCTTCCCTTTCTTAAAAATGGTCACTATACTTGCCCTTTTACAATCATCCAGGAGCTCTACTAATCACCACAAGTTTTCAAAGATAAACACCAGCGGCTCTGACAACACGTTGGCCAACTCCCTCAGCACCCTCATGTCTGGCCCCATGGACTTGTACACATCCAACTTTTCTAAATAGTCCCTAACATGTTCTTTCACCACTGTTGGCTGCTCACTGCTTCTCCAGGCTGTGTTGCTAGGTGCAGTAGTCTGGGAGCTGACCTCACCCTTGAAGACTGAAGTGAAAAAGGCATCGAGTACTTCAGTCTTTTCCACATCATCTGTCACTAGGCTGCCTCCCCCTTTCAGTAAGGGACCCACACTTTCTCTGATCTTCCTCTTGTTGCTGACATATTTGTAGAAACCCTTCTTGTTGCCCTTCATGTCCCTTGCTAGCTGGAACTCCAGTTGCGCTTTGGCCTTCTTGATTTCATTTGTGCATACCGAGCAGTACTCTTATACTCCTCCCTAGTTGTTTGTCCAACTTTCCACTTCTTGTAGGCTTCCTTTTTGTGTTTTAGCTCACTGAAGAGTTCCCTGCTAAGCCAAGCTGGTCTTCTGCCATACTTGCTAGTCTTCCTGCACATCAGGATGGATTATCCCTGCACCTTCAGTAAAGTTTCTTTAAAATACAATGCCCCCTCAGACCTGCCTCCCAAGGAATCCTGTCCATCAGTTCCCTCAGTGAGTCAAAGTGTGTTTTTCTGGGTTTTCTTTCCTTTCCTTAGCACCCTGAATTCAATCAT